CACAGCCCCCCTGCCCGCTGCCCCCTGGGCCGCACGACCCCCTGCCCGCTGCCCCATGGGACCCACAGCCCCACCCAGAGCTCCAGACTGCCCCTTGAGACCTACAGCCCCCCTCACAGCCCCACACTGCCCCATGGGACCCAGAGCCTCCCCACCCAATGCCCCACTGCCCCGGGAGCCGCAGACCCCCCACGCACCTCCAGCAGGGTGTAGCAGGAGTTCTTCTTGAGGAAGGTCTTGGAGGCCTTCTCACGCCAGGAGTGCGCCGTGCCCACCTGCACCTCCAGCTGGCGCAGCTCCTCCAGCCGCACCGGCAGGTCCCGGCCCACGGCCACCAGCCCCTCCAGGTCGTCCAGGCAGGGGTAGTGATCCCCGTTCTGGGGAGGGGGGGGGGGAAAAAAGGTCAGCGCCTCCCCCCACAGGCCCCAGCTTCACCCTGCCATCCCCCGCGAGCCCCACCCCCACAGCCCCAAGCACCTGGTCTCCCAAGATCCCCCAGAAACCCCCTCCCACACCCCCATGGCTCACCTGGATCTCCTCCACGTCGGCGATCCAGGCCCGGGCTTTGGCCAGCGCCTCCTTCAGGGCCAGGATGTTGGGCAGGTGCACGGGGACGTTCTCCGCCTCCTTGATGATGGCTTCCAGCGTGGCCGGGGGGTGCTTCTGCCTGGGGAGGGGGGGAACGACGGCTCACGGTCCCCGGCTCCGATCACCAGCCCCCTCCCCCCCCCAGAGCCAGGGAGAGAACCCAGGCATCCGGGCTCCCAGCCCCGCCCTGCTCTAATCACCAGCCCCCCTCCCCCAACCAGAGCCAGGGAGAGAACCCAGGCATCCGGGCTCCCAGCCCCACTCCCTTCCCAGAGCCGGGGAGAGAACCCAGGCGTCCGGGCCCCTCACCTGGCCTCAAGGCAGAGATGGGCCTTCTCCTCCCAGCGCTGGGCGATGGTCAGCAGCTCCTGCAGCTCGGCTCGGGCCTTCTCCACAGCCGGGCTGGGGGCCACGGTGGCGCCGGCCTGGGCCAGGCCCCGCACCAGGGCCAGGGGCACCCGCTCGCGGGGCGAGCGCAGCGCCCGCTTCACCTCCTCCAGCCAGGCCGCCTGCTGCACCTGGCGCTCCAGCTGGCGCGTCTCGGGCACGGCCACGCCCAAGCGCGCCCCCCGCGCCACCAGCCCCTGCAGCTGGGCCGCGCTGGCGGGCAGCCCCCGCAGGGCCTCCTGCGCCTCCTCCTGGAACGCCAGCGCCCGCTCCAGCACCGCCTGCGGGGGGAGGGGAAGAGAGTCAGGGTGGGGCTGGGCACCCCC